TATTTTTCATAATATTTTTTTATATTATTATTTTTTCCACATCATCACTTTTTGGTCTTCCACGTGGATTGCTATATGACATGTCATCTGGTAACAGTGAAGTAACAGGCCACGTCACACAGTTTTTAACGGAAGGACCAAATCGGGGTAAAAATGGTAAACAGTATGGACTAAATCAGAGATTTTTTTAGTTCAGGGACCAAATCGGGGGTCCGTACAATAGTTCAGGGACCAAAAAGGGGTTTTAACCAAAAATTTTTTGTTCAAGAAGAAATGATAAAGTTATTTTAAAGATATAAATTGTATTCATTAATTGGATTAGAGAACAAAGTGTTCGAAGTTTTTTGCAATATGTAATAAAAAAATGTGTTTTAGAATCTATATTGCACCAAAATATTTTTTGGCCCTAAGGTAATTTTGTGCTTTTGCAACTTAAACTATATTTTTTATTTTTTTCATTTTGAAAAATTGTATTCTTATATATTGTCAATTAAAGTTTTAAAACTTTTTCAAATGATCAAAGTTGATTATTATTTTGATTTTATAACATTAAATCTTGTCATTTTTGTTTTATCTACGTTTTTTTTCCCTAATTTTTAGTGGTTCATCCTAGGCATGGAACAATTTTAGTTGTAATAGTTTTTATTTAGAACATTAAATCTTATAATTTTTGTTTTATCTTATTTTTTTTTCCCAATTTTGTGTGGTTTATCCTAGGCATGGAACAATTTTAGTTGTAATAGTTTTTTTATTTGACTAAAATTTGAGATTTTATTATTTATTTATTTAATTTTGAGTTGCATAATGGATTTAAACTTTTTTTTAATCTATTTATTTGATTATATCATGTTGCTTAAGTTGTTGGCTTTGTAGTCTCATTTAAATTAGCTATATTAGCTTTATTTTTGTTCTTTTTTTTTTCTTTTTGCTTATAAATAGGTGATATGTTGTTTGAGTTTTTTTATATGTGTTTTAGTATTATTAACTAATGATGTTTTGCAATAAATCAATAATTGTCTTTTTTTGTCATGTTGCTTTTTCATCTTCAACAACAAATCATGATATAATAATTGTAATAAAGATTACATTTTTCACTAAACCATGATATAATAATTGTAATTGAAATTTTGAAATCACATTTTTCATTAAGGAATTTCAGTACATATAAATTTTGTCTTCACACTTGCTTTTACTTTTTATCTTTTAATTAAGTAGTAATAGTAATATATAATATATAATAATAATAAATTAGATCATTTGCATCTCACCTCATGCATTAATATAAAAATTAACCATATTCAAATTGTTAATAAATTTTTTTAGTTTTTTTATCATTATTTTTTATTAATACTAAAATAATATAACAATGATCATTTATATATTACATTATTAATTACGTGACTCTTAATCTTTCTTCTTCTTTTTTTGAACAACAAAAAATAATATTTATTAATAAACGGAGTACAAGAGGTACCCCAAACCCTAAATATCATAATTTGAAAGGCATCATATTACATGAGTGGAGTAACCTTTTCGTATGGTATCAACCCCTAAATTATGTGTCAACACTACGTCTATGTCGGAGTTTTAGATGTTTAACATATGGTGTCGACACTAAAATTAGGTATCGACACCAAATTATGTGTCGACACCATACCCGTGTCGGATTTCTGTCCTTTTTTGCAGTTTCTTCATATAAGCCCATGAATGTTAATCCCATCTTTCAGATCATTCCTACTTATCACATACTGAAAGATTGAATAACACTTGGCTTTCTTGACATAATCATGTAGAAATAAAAATGAAAGTAAAGAACCAGATTAAGCACTATGCAATTAAGTGTTATTCATAACCACAATTAGGTTCAGCACTTATCTTCTCCTCACCCAAAAGGGTCTCACCTCCATTGTATGGTCCTTGTCAAATGTCTGCCTCTTTTTTGTGAAGGCTGTAAAAGTGCTCAATCTTGGTTGTTGTATCCAATCAGAGAGTGTGATTCCCTTCCCTTCACCTTTGAGTTTAAGCCACTAGAATGAACGAGCTTGCACCAAGTCAAATAGTTTCACTTCATCCAAGTGTTTGTTCTAGAATATTACCTCATTTCTTGCCAACCATATTATCCAAGTGATTGCAAACCATATAATGTCCTAGCCTATTTTAACTGTTGTGTTGTTGAAAAGGTCTTTGTGCTGGTTAAAGGCATCCCAACATGTTCCAGGCATTACATGTTCAACTCCCCACCATTGAAAACATTTTGACCAGAGATTAAAGGCTGTTTTGTAGTGTAGAAATAGGTGGTTTGTGTCTTCAACAACAGTAGTGCAAAAGACGCAGGTGAGTCCATCTTAAAAGTTACACATCCCTCGTTTTGACAGGTTAAGTTTGGAAGGAATGCGATTTTGAACTAGTTTCCAAGTAAAAGCACATACTTTAGAGGGGATGTTACCATTCCATATCCTGGAGTAGATGCTAGGATCACTAGGTTCACCATCAACAGCAAGTAAGAGTAGGGTTCACTAGTGTTGTAAATACCATCCTTGCTGTGCACCCATCTCCAAGTATCCTAAATTCTATGTTGGATTTTAACCCCATTTAGGATATTCATAAGGGGATCAATCTGAGCTCTTTCTCTCTGCAAAAGCATCCTTCTCCATGGAAGATTCCAACTCCAAGTGCCATTTATCCAGTTCCCCATTTGGTTGATTGAATGTTGCTGACCTGCAGATAATAGGAACAATCTGGGAAATTTTTCAGCAAAGGGCCCACACCCTGCCCAATCATCTCACCAGAATCTTACTAATGCTCCCTCTCCGACTTTTAATTGGAATCCTCTCCTAAGCCATTCATTGGTTCCACCCCCCAACTCTCTTAACTTGCATAGATCTCTCCACCATAGTGAGCCCTTGTCGTTGCCCTCCCTTAACCAACACAGCCAATTATCTCTATTGTGATCATACTTCTCTTTGATTAATTGGCTCCATAAGCTAGTATCTCCTATGGATAATCTGTCTCACCACATCCCTAGTAAAGCTAGGTTGAACAATTGGAGGTTTCTCACGCCTAGCCCTCCCTCAAGCTTGCTTTTGCAGACTTTTTCCCATTTCACCCAGTTAATGACTCTCTTATCTTCCTCCCCCCC